TTTTATTTTTCGTAAAGATAAAGTTCATAAGTACTCTTCAATAGCATTGTCTTGGATATCAATACGAAAAAATGAGTGTCTAACGATTTAAACAAAGCATCATTCAAAGTTGTTTTTATTAAATCGTTTGCTTTCGTTATTCAGATCCTTGAGTGTATGACTCGTTTGTAGTTGTTTTATAGATGTTGGGTTTGAGAGGGTCCTATAGATAGAAGTCCAATGGTGCGACGTCTGATGCTTGAGTGATCCATGATATTTGTCTATCCGTGCCAATCTACCTGTTCTCAAAGATGAAACACTAATTGAAGACCATTCTTTCAAAATGCTCATAAATCCTGCTGTCTGACTTTAAAGAAGAAACAGGTTAATAACTTCATCATTTTCAGTAAGATAGTTCACCAACCCATTTCTCAGTATCAGTTGGCGTCGGACTGAACCAAACCTTCGAAAACAGATGAAGCGGAAGAAGTGAACCAACGTCATAGATCCCTCAATCATTATAGCTCACGCCATTAGACTTCAACCTATAAGACCATCTCAAACTTAATGTCTATAGGGTGTGGATATAAACGAAGCCCACACCCACACCCTGAAAGATTAACATTGAGTATAATCTTCTTCTTGTGCTTGATCTGAAGAAATGAATCAATGAAAGAAAAATGGTTGCGTTTATGATTGGATGGAGTCTACGCATGAGAAGATGCAACCACCTCAATTATACTGTCTTGAATTCTTCATCAGTACCTTCTGACCCCCATCATTATGAGATTTCAGCACCACATACATTTCTCTTAGTTTCATCTATTTCTGAGATAAATCGATAAAATATCATAAGACTATGTTATTATCTTTTATAGTACGACATAACACCCTACAATGACTGTAATCAGATATAAATTTGTAACGAAATATTTACTATAGAAATATTTAAAACAGCGGATTGCACTGACAAGAAAAGAACGAAAGCATCATACTGTAAACAATAGTACTCTGACATACTTTACATAAGCAGGAGATTCGCAATACAAGCACGCATACCTAAAACATCACACCAACGAATTATAATTTTTCTAATCTTTACAATATTCGTTGCATGTAAACGGCAAACTTCACTTCCATATCCACATTGGTCTGATAGATTCCAGTAAACTTTATTATTTCAATAAAAGATAAAATGAGTCAATTTGTATTTTATTCAGAATAGAATCAACTATAGTTGCTTTTGATGAAGATAATCATAGCTACATATTCACCGTATGCTTTTTTTACTATATGTATGTTAAATAAATTCATTTTTTTTCATTTTTATTCATTTTAAGAACAGCGACTAGCGATAAAAATAATATCAGAGATAGACAAAAGAAAAAAGAATAAATGTCATTCGTAAATTAATTGGACTGTGCATTCATAAATGACGCTACATTTTTTTCGCCGAGGTCATCCATTCATTCTATTCAATCATAGCGGTCGGCATTAACAAACAATGAGCATATGTATATATATATATATGCATAGTAAGAAAAGTATTAGTTAAACTCAACATGAATAAATCTAATGTTGACTTTCTTGATTTACCTAATAAAATCTTACTTATCATTTTAAAAAACCTTGACAATATCGATGTTCTTTATTCATTGTTGGATGTTGGTAATCAACGACTTCACATTATATTACAAGAAAATATTTTCACTAATGCTCTCAATTCTGTATTAACAACATTCACTGATGATATATCCTCGATTAGTGATACAATAGTTGATCGATTTTGCATAAATATATTGCCAAGAATTCATCACAATGTTAAATCTCTTATTCTTGATTCAGTATCTATGGGACGTATTCTTCTTGCTGCTGATTATCCTAATCTAACTGAACTTAAACTCTTTAATTTTAATGATAACATTGCTTCACGTTATTTTATAGGTAAATAACTTACGTACTGATCAGAATAAAAAAATCTGTTGAATAGATAGACTAGAGAATAACAACTTATGTTTTTATTTAGATGAAGGACCATTTCGACGTACCTTTTCGACGACAAATTACAGATCTNGAAAAGTATTAGTTAAACTCAACATGAATAAATCTAATGTTGACTTTCTTAATTTACCTAATAAAATCTTACTTATCATTTTAAAAAAACCTTGACAATATCAACGTACCTTTTCGACGACAAATTACAGATCTTATTCTTGTATTCAAAGACTGTCTTAATGAAACATTAAAACATTATACAATAGATATGTATGGATATATTTTGGAATTCTTCGAAAATCTAAGACATTTATCTATTATTGGATCATCTCGCTGTTCTTTTGGAAGTTTAATATATTATAATTTACCTTCAAGCACCTTCTCCTCTTCAACTCTTAACAAATTATGTATTCGTGTGATAAATTATGCAGATTGTCTTACTGTACTTGATGGTCGTTTCAAACAATTAACAACCTTGATTGTTGATATTATTGACGTGTCACATCATTCATCAGATGTTTACAATATGGTAAGTTTACATTTTATTAAATTAATCTTTTCAACTTGAAAAAATTACCATTGATTAGAGTCAGAATTTTTTTTTCATATTATTATAGATAGACTTTTTTTTGCTAATCAATTACTGTTTAATTGAATCAACTGTAATGAAATAGTTGTAAAATGGATACACGTCTATTTAGTAGGTATAAGTCAGTTTGAAAAAATAAAGTGAATAATTGAATTTTATTTTAACAAATAAACTGTTTAGTTCTAATGAATATTAGATTTATTGATCATATATTGTTTTCTACTTAAAAACGATATGTTTTAAAAATAAGAGTGAGAATATTTATCTTCTAGATATTTTGAAAATATAACTAAGTCTTTGAGAACTCGATAATAGATCAAACCTATATTTGTCTAATTGTTCTTTCTCAGCTGTAAACAATCTTTGTTTTTTTTTTGCTTTCCATTTAGTCATTTTCATTGTCTTATAATACAGAAAAATTACAAGAAACACGAATATTAAAGACTGTAAATGTCAAGAGCAATAAGAAAAGTGAAAGAAAAACATAAAAGCAAAAGACTCGTGAATACTGAGTGAGAACAGATAAAGATTATTAAATATAGAAAAAAAATGACAGAAAAACTAAGTCCAACTAACTTTCATTTGATGTGAACTGATGAGTTTTCGGTGAAGATTTTAGTGTAAGCAACATTTGTTTGATTCAGCAGTTATCTCAGTATTCATTACTTCTTATGTGCTGCTGAAAGTTTAGAAATACAATATAAATATCTGAGTCCGCATTGCAGAAGAAGATATATATCATAGGATAAAAGAAATAACTCAAAATGGATTAAATAGAATAGAGCGTTTCAATCAATTATTTATCGGAATATTTTTTTATTTTAATTGATAATAATATATTTTCTAGGATGATCTACCTAATTTGAAATGTTTTTCTTTAACAACAACGTCTACTTGCTCTGTTGATACATATATTAAAATATCACTTCTTTTTCGTCGTATGATAAATCTTGAACAATTAACCTTGTATCTTACTATCAACATGGAAACTGCATTTATCGATGGTACTCACATTTATAATGAAATTCTTGTCCATATGCCACAACTTCATATATTCAATTTTTGTATTTGTACTGAGATTGATATAGATCGTTTAGTTGATCATTTATCTAAAGATGATATTCAAGAAACTTTTCCTAACACAATATATCAAGCAATGGACTGTATGATACAATATAACTATCAAGATGCTATATGTCATGTCTTTTCATTACCATTCATGTTTGATTATCTCGGATGTATTGGTAATACATTTCCTAGTATTATTTTCAATCATGTTAGAAGATTGACGGTGTGTGATGAAGTTGCATTTGAACATGAATTTTTCAATCGAATTGCTTGGTCTTTTCCTTTGCTTAAACATTTATGTGTTATTAATTTTAATTCCCAGTCACAAATATCAAACAAATTGAACTCTAATGATAATCAATTGAATTCAATTGTTAAATATTCACATCTTATTTGGCTTCGTATTGATAGTGTTCATATTGATTATGTCGAGCAATTTCTCAATGAGACAAAAACACATCTACCTTGTCTAACCAAGTTATCAGTCTATTATAATCATTTAAAAATTGTAACAAAAAACTTTACAAGATATATAACACGACGCAATTGTATCAAAGTGAACGAATTAGATATTGGTAAAGTAGAACATTCAAAAGATTTCAATGTTTGTTTTCCTGTGTTATAAACTTGTATTTTGTTCTGACTAAATAAATAAAAAATAAATAATGAAAATTTATAAAACAGTATTTTTGCAATCGAACCATACTGACCAAGCATTATTTATTAGAAATGCTTATTAACTTTGGATTATTTTTTCTGTAAAAAAATATGTTTAAGTTTTTTTCATTTGGTAAATATGACATATATCAATAAAGATTAGTTTGTTTATCTCATATATTTGAAATAGTTGAATAAAGAAAAGAAAAACAAATCGTTTGTCTATTCATAATCAATGGTATATAATTGTAAAAGTGATATGTTGTTTTATATGAATTATTAGAATAGATTAAAGTACATTTTGTATATAAGGATTGAATATCATGTTTAGTAGGATTTGTTGGTAAACCTTAATCAATAACTTTAACATATTTATGCCTTGAAATATTAGTTATTAATTATCATTTTTTTCGTTCTCCCGTTTCGATCATCTGTGATAATCATCTATTTCTTACTTCTTTTTAATTCTAGTTTAATATTGTTGCAAGAGTGAAAATCGAAACACTTTTTCTGAATATCATGATCGATAATTGAATAGTTAGACATCTCGAATTTCATATCAATTAAACGAAGATTTTTAATGAAAACATGACAAAAAAAGAAAAGTAAATCACTGGATTTATTATCTGATTAATTGTTCTAGTACAGATGATTTTCGTAATGGAGATAGAAAACTATGTCGTTGTTCATTGCTATTAGTATTCATGGATTTTCGTTTTGATCATCCCATCATCTTTGATTTTGGTGAAGACATCAATATCTTGTCTCCTGTTTGATCAGATTCTTAACAAATAGATAAAGCAAGTAAAGGAGTTGATGATTCTTCTGGAACGACTGTTACTGATGATGGAGAAGAACATGTGATTTGACTACTATCACTTGTACTTGTTGTTGTTACTTCTCTAGATAAAAGTAATGATCGAGAAAAAGTAGCATAAGATACAGAACATTTATTAGGTCGATGATGACATACTATTGGAGGATAACGATGATGAGTCATTGTTAATAAATATTCAGGTATGCATTCATATTGATGATTTTTTTGTATTATTAACATCATTGCCAGTCTTATTTATCATTGATGGAGAATCAGAATTATTAGTTAAATTAATATTATGAGGAGAAGAAATAACAGATAATAAAGATGCTTCGATCATGGGAGTTAATTGATTAGAATAATAATCATCACAACAATTGAACGTATTTTATGTACACTATAAAACAAAATGAAAATATTTTAAATTTATTTTCTTATATGATCGTATCTGATCTTAGTCAGCGAAACTTATTTTCTCATTCAAATACAGACAGCCTTAACTTTACTCCAAAAATCTAAAGATCTATCAGTATTCATTGCAGACAGATCAACTTTTTTGTGGTAAATTAGTAGTTTTCGTATGAATTACTGAAGAAATCATACGTATATGTTATACTTTATCAATTATTTGTTGGAAACTCATGATCAATAAACAAACTGAAGTTAATGTTTCCATGATTTAAATAATTCTAAAGTTAACCTTGTATTAAATGAATAAATAATAAAGAAAAAAGATTAAATAGCCTAGTTTATTATTCTTTCCTTTTTATTAATAATTTCCATACGAAACGTGATTAATGGAAGAAATAAACATTGATGTTTAATAGAGAATATATTCCAGATGTTACTTATTTGATCGTTGAAATATCATTGACAAGTGCTTTTCTCACATGTCTATTATCAATTGTTGGAATAGATTTATTGATATTGATAAAAAAAGAAAAACAGTGTAAAATGTTTCACACCTGTTCAACAACGTTTACATTTGTCTCTTTTCTCAAACTAACCTTTGAATATTTAATCAAAACGAAATAAAAATTCTTACTTTATAATGTTCACTTATTATTGTACAGAGACCAGAATGATGATGATGATGATTTCTAGATGATAATGAACCAGTCATAACATAACTTTTATATTCTTTTTTTAATTTTCTAAATAAATATAAAAGAATATATTTTGATAAAAATCAACTGAGTGATATTACTTAAGACAAAGGAAAATGAATATTGCAATTATAATACAAGAAATCACACTAATTATAGACAAAATAATAAGAAAAAGATTTAACCAATTGATTTGTTCTTCATGTTTTTGAAGAAGAAGTATTAAGAATATTTAACGTTGGTCGTACATATTGACCATTTAATATTTCAACTGTTTGAAAATGTTCAAACAATGGTCCACGTGGTTTTGGTGGAGGACGAATTGTAAATAAAGGTGGAGAAGGAAAATGACGTAAACCATCATTCGTCATCTAAGTAAGTATTTTTATTTAAAAAAAAAAGAATTATTTAATATATCACTTTAAGAATTGTCTTTTAATATGAAATTGAATTAATCTCTATTTTTAATAGATATTATTCTATAACTATTATTGATGATAACTAATTTTAAAATGATTTATGACCAAATAAATCTTTATTTAATCGAGATGGGTGTGGATGCGGGTGTTGGGTGTGGGTGTGGGTGTGGATGAGGTCTCTAATGATATCTACATCCCCACACCCACAGGCACACCCACACACACCCACCCACACACACCCACACTCACACACACACACCCACCCACACCCATCCACACCCACACCCACCCANTCGTTTTCAATTGTTATTGAATATATACTAAATTGTTATAATTTTATTTATTGACAATAAAATTCTTCTAATATTATTAATTAATATTTATTATTATTATTTAAATTAAATTGTTGTTGTTGTTGTTGTTGTTGTTGATTATAATTATTTTCAATTTGTTTATCGTTGTTTTAATTCAATATAAAATAAATATAATTGTTGATCATCATCAATTTATATCATTGATGTGTATATGTTTATACACATTGTAAAAGATTATCAATTAAATATTTAATATAACTTGTTTGATAAATTAAATTTTTTTAATTTTTCATTATTTAATAAAGAACTTAACTAAACGTAAACAATAACAATGTATATGACCTTGTTTTTGTATATATAATATTGAATCATAACATAAATATGATTGATAGTACTGGTATAAGACATGATATATTTATTATTTAAATAAAATTATCATAAAAAAGTTCTTCAGATAATTTATTTGAAAATATTGAATAAAATCTATAAAATAAATAAATAAAATGTTCTTCATGGAATTTTTGTATTTGTATTATTTCATCTTGTTTCCATTGTGAATGTGTTGAATCTGTACCTTTAGCCGAAAAATTTGATTTTGTATTATTATTATTATTATTATTATTAATTGTATTTAATTGTTGTATTGTTGTTGATTCAATTTGTTGAATATCATCTTGATAATATTGATAATCATTATCATAAATTATTGTTTGATTATTTATTGTTGTTGGAATAGGTAATGATGTTGATATTAAATCTATTTGTGTTACGATGTGTATGACGTCTTATTGATGATAAAGATGAAAGTAATAAAAGTAATATAGTTGAATGTAAAATTTCATCTAATAAATAATTTTATGAATCTTTAAGTAAAATAAATAATATTTCAAATAGTAATTTTGATAATTGACGCATATCAAAATTTTCTTGATGTTGTGTTTGATCTTGATATTCATTTATAATTGATTATTTTTGTTCAATCATTAAACGTATTATATTACATGGAAGTGAACCATTTTGTTAAGATAGCACGTGCATAATTTGGTAAACGAAGAAATATTGAAAATGTTCTAAATACATAATATTAGATTGTCATATTATTTGAAGAATTTGTTGATGATGAAACTAATGATGAAAAATGAAAGAAATTTATTTTATCGAATATATTTCTATTTGATGATGATAATAAACATTCATCATAAGATTGTATTGATGGATAATTTCATGGAAAATGCTGTGCAAGAATTTAAAGACCATTTGCATGAACAAATCTATCAAGTAATATTGGATAATCTTTATTTTCAACTATTGATTTATGTGTAATTAATTTATTTTCCTAAAATAGATTAAATAACTTAGTTGAATTTTTTTTTTTTTCTCCAAACATATTCCTGATCTCTTCTAAAGAAGTTTACAAGCAACGATTTGTTTTCGTTTTGTTACATAATGTTAAACACGTAGCTTCAATCGAAGAAGTTTTCTATCCAATACACATTATAGCAAGATGAACAATAATGGGAAGACTCCTAAAAAACCGAAAATGGTATTTTTCAGGTTCTAGAAGGCTCTGCCAGATATATTTTTAAATAGTGCCATCTTAAAGAGTAGAAAATTCTGAGTAAAATGAGGGATCGCAGAATTTTCTACGAACTTCTTATAAAAAGTTCCAAGCATCACAAAAATCCTGACAATTTCGCTTTTTCATGATTTTTGTGACGACTGGAACTTTTGATGAGAAGGTCGTAGAAAACTCGACGATCCCTCATTTTACTCAGAATTTTGTGCTCTTTAAGATGACACCGTTTAAAAATAGTTCTAAGAAAGCCTTGTAGAACCTGAAAAATACCATATTCGGTTTTTTAGTCTTCCTATAATGTGTATTAGATAGAAAACTTCATTAAAATCGCTATTTGGATTGGAACTACTTGCTTAACATCAGGAGAAAAAAACGAAACGTTTTTTCTCGCCACTTTAGTTTGATAATCATATTTTAATTAATCATGGTCAAGTAAGTTGATAGAGAAAAAGATTTTTTTTTTTTATGTTTAACTAATTAAGAAAAAATATGATTATCAAACTAAAGTGGCGAGAAAAAACGTTTCGTTTTTTTCTCCTGATGTTAAGCAAGTAGTTCCAATCCAAANCGGATCCTGCTCATCTTCGAACTCGACCGAGACATTGTTAAGACTGAACTGAGTAGAAAATTTCATCGCGATTGGACTCTCCTTTCAAAAGTTATCGTGTTAACGGCCGGCCGGCCGGACGGACACACTGACCGATTCTAGAGTTTACTCACTTTTTGAGTACACAAAAAGATGATGATTCTATAAATTTAAATATATTTAGATTATTAAATAGGTCAATATAAATATTTCGATATATTTTATGGAATTAAATAATAAAGTCAACGATAAATAAATAATTGATTTAATAAAATAATAATTAATTAATATCTTCATTAATAAATGTTCACAGTTAATGAATATATTTATAATGGTTTAAAATGATCAATAAATGTTTAATTTGTTATTAATATAATTGATAACTAGTTATGGTGTTATGATGTGATATTGATGTTAATAACCATGAATTATTTTTAAATAAATATTCTAATAAATAATGATCAACTTTAATATTGTCTTGTTTTATTTGTCGATAGAATATAATTAACAATTTGTTTTATTTTATCATTAACGAATTTATTATTATTATTAGTAGTAATTTGTTGATAACCATAATCAATAAATTGATTATCATCACTAATTATTTTATTAAATAATTGATTAATATTGTTTCTGATTAAAATGTTAATTCTGATAAAATATTAAAGTGATTATAAATAATTAAATATTTAATAAATAAATAAAATTGTTTTTATCTGTATAATGATTATCAATAAATATAAATATTTAATTAAAAATAAAATAATTTCTATAATAAAATGTTTTCTTTAACTATAAAAATAAATATTTGAAATAGATAATAATATAAATGTTATTTAATTTTTTAAACATAAAAATGTATCTATTGTAAATAACAATCAAATAAACGATATTTATCTACTAATATTATTGAACAGATGATCATTGTTATAAATTATATTTATATTTATTGTTTAAGATTTTATTTATGAATAGATTTATTTAATCTATTTCAATATTTATAATGTCAAATTAATTTACCATAAACAGTTTATATAAATGTGTTTATATGGATTTATTGTTTGTTCAATAATAATTTATTGATTATATCCATAATAATCATATATTGATATTTGTTATAAATAAATTCTATCATGATAAACGTGATTTATAAAAAATGTCTAGGTAAGTCTCTAACAATATAAATTTAGTTTTTTTTATAGATAAATAAATAATTTATTCTCCTTGTTTATTTAATAAATGTGAACGATGGTATTAAATAATAATCATCGTTATCATATTTAACATGTTATTTATGATCGATATTGTCTTTTATTTTTATTTAATTGATAAATAATTCTATAAATATTAAAATTTATATTGATTTAAATATAATTCAATATTGAAATTGTTATATTAATCTATAAGGTTGTTGATTAGGTAAATATCTATATGAGCATGGTGGTCAACGTAAATGACGTGATGATGCAAGTTGGATTTGAATATGTTATTTGAGATTGTCGTTTATAATATATTGATTCTTTTGATGATATTTCTCATTGATTTTATAAATAATTTGAATATGTTATTAAATAATTAACTGATAAATAAAGTAATTTATATTGATTTAATTCTTCATATAAAATGTTTTGTATTATGTATTGAATAAACAGTAAATAATAATAATGGATGTTGCTGTTAAATAATAATATAAATATTGTTAAAATATAAATTGTTTGTGATATAAATGATGATAAAGAATAACCAAGTGATAAAACATAATTTAAATTTGAATCTATTCTTCTATGTATAAATAATGAATATTGATTTGTTTATGTTATTGATGCAGGAAGATATTTTGTTGATGAATTAAATGATGTAGATGGTGATGAATAAAGTGATCAATGACATTCAGGAAAAACTTTGAACTTGTTTTCCATGAATCAATGTATGTTTTCGGTATTTCAATTTTACTGGTCTTCGAAATTTTTCTCGGGGTAAGATCATTCAGCACTCGATGATTTTGTTCGTTGATTCTTGTTTCGAAAGAAATTCAGTTTTGCTTCCACAACGATATCAACCAGAAGGCTACAATATGAGATCTAAGGCTACCTCTACCGTCCAGTATGGTCATCCAGTA